AAAATGGACTGGCAGCTTATTAAAGAGAACTAGGTTTATCTAGTCCAGTTTTGTGTTCATGTGCCACTTCTATTTTGAAGGTGGTTTCTGTAAAGTGCCATAATTTCCTGTGGCTTACCTGAAAACATGGGGTGGAAGGAAGTGAGGTTGTTTTGTAAATGCTGGTAGTTCTGTGCAGACCTGCTTTTTATGTTGAATTGCAAGGCGACTGGCAGCTTATTAAAGAGAACTAGGTTTATCTAGTCCAGTTTTGTGTTCATGTGCCACTTCTATTTTGAAGGTGGTTTCTGTAAAGTGCCATAATTTCCTGTGGCTTACCTGAAAACATGGGGTGGAAGGAAGTGAGGTTGTTTTGTAAATGCTGGTAGTTCTGTGCAGACCTGCTTTTTATGTTGAATTGCAAGGCTGGATGTTAATCTGAATGTTGCAGAGGTCTGTGTAAAAGTTGATACTAGCTCCTCTCATAGTAACTGCATATATAGAAATTGTTATTAAGTTGTCAACCTTTATGTTAGAAAGTCCTTTTGCATTTTCAGCTACTTTTCATAATAAAATATATGTCTTCCAGAGTATACTATGGAATCCATTTAAAAGATGCAAAATACATGCATTAAACTTTCAATTTTCCAATAAATAATAGTATGCCTGAGGGTTGGTATGAGTACTAAATACTTCAGTTACTATCTGAGCATTTATTTAATTATACCATTTCATATAGTATAGTGTGGGACATGAAACCAGAAAGAAAAACATCAAAATTAATTGTGTGTATGCATTTTTCCTTTTTCCCTTTTCCTGCCTTTTTGTATCAGGAGCTGCTGAAATGGGTTGTGGATTGAACAAACTAGAGAAGCATGATGAAAAACGACCTGGTAATATCTATTCAACTTTGAAGAGGCCCCAGGTAGAAACCAAGATAGATGTTTGCTACGAATATCGATTCTTGGACTTCACAACACTAAATGATAGTAAGTACACAATATTTAGATTGGTTTTTTTATGTTCAAATTAACATGTTAATTGCTCCATAAAGTTTTTTGAATAGTAGTTAAGTTTTTAAAATATCTTCAGTTTCTTTAAGCAAATGTCTCGTCTTCAGTCATAATGCTTACATGCAGAGATCTTAGTGGAATTTTGTGGTGATTTTGAACCTTTTTTACTTTGATATGGATGTTCGTTTCCTTAGTTTCATCTAGTAAAGCAATTCAGGTCTGCCAGGTTATATAGTTTACTGCTCATTTTGCTTCCTCCCCTTCTGCTCTCTGTGCTCTCCCAAGGGTATTTTCAGATGTTGAAGTTAGCATTTTCAGTTTTGCTAACTTACCTTAAATAACTGTTATGTGGTTACAGATACTTACAGGTGCACCCATGTGGGTGGAAACAGGATAGTGGGAGGCACTGAAGACTTAAAACATCAAAGGGGTGAAGGTCCACTCTTACTTAGTTTTCACCATGTTTTTCTCTCTGAAGTAGTCTTAATTCACATGACAGTCCATAGATATTCCAGTTCTTTCCTTCCTGATTGACATCAGGCATCTCTGCCAGTATTGCTCACACCATTGCCTGTGCCCTCTTTCACTTCAGAATTAGCCTGTTCTACCAGCAATTACTCCTCACACCATTTAGAAATCTGAAGCTTGAGCAGAAGGCTGGGACCTGCTTCTTGCTATATATAAACCAACACAGTACCAAAATCTGTTACAGCTCGCTTGGCAGGGTGCCACGTAGAGCCTCTTTTGCCCTGCAGTGTTCTGTGACTTCTCTTGTTTTGCAAGTCAGGTCAAAGCAAAAGCCAAAGCGGTTCTGTCTCTCACAGTGTGAGACAAAGAGCTGCTGGTATTTTGCTTGATAGGACACCTCTCATGCACTTCAGTGTGTGAGCCCAGAGTAGTGGGAATTTGTAGTTGTTTGAAACTTGTTGCAAGTAAACTTGAATCTGGAAAAAGGTGGAGGTTTGAAATAGGTGGTTGGACAGGAGTGGGCTTTTTGTAGGCAACGTGAGAGTTGAGAAATTCTGTCTTTGCATACTTCTAGTGCCTACATCCTGCACTTGTGTATTCCTGTGTTGTTTGATACACTAATTGGGATGCACTGCTGTTACTGAGAGCACCAAAATGGTAGAGAAATTTTTTTCATGTTTATGTATTGCAGTTGTTTCGAAATTTATGTATTTTTATTTCAAAGTGAACTGTTTATGTCCTTTGATAGCTTGACAGCTTTTACTGAGATGTACTGCAAGTTGTGTCATTAGTTAAAATGAATTCATATTGAGGACACACTTCTATGGGCTTTTCTGAAATGTTCAGCACCGTCTGAGGGCCTCAGAAACTTCAGCATGTGTATTCTCCTGATGTCTCATGGACTCTCATCTCTGGCACTCTATGGAGGAAGAATCAGTACTCAGGACAGCAATGTGGCACAGAGGATGTCTGGCACAGAGCAAAAAATTAAACCCAGACTTTCCAAGTGTGATTAAGTGGATAGGTTTGTTGTAAAGCATACTTGTACATCTTTCTTACTCATTGTAGATTGTTTTATTGTGATTTTGGGATTCATGGTTTTACAGAGACTGTAGAAGTACTCCTAGCAGATTCTTCAGCTTGCCAAATAGCATAAACTATCTAGCTCCCACTGAGCTCTGCTTTGGCTTGTTGTATCCCCATTACCACAATCTCTGAAGATGTCAGTGGATAGGCAGATGCGGATGGGATGGAGCTGTTGTTCCTGCTCTTTTTCCTTAGTATCACTCATGGCTATGTGCTGTCAGGATTGGCAGGGCAACAGCTTGTGGTGAAGCAGCTCCCTCCCTATTCTGGACATTGGCTGTAAGAAGGCTCACACCACACTATGTAGCATTACGACATTCTAGGTTTTTCTCCCGTGTTTTCTTCCAGGTTTTTGTCCAGTGGTGACAGCATCAGTGGTTCATTTTTATTTTTGCTGAGAAATAGCCTCTGCAGAAAACCAGAGTTAATGATGAATGTTTCACCTTTGTCTGTGTGGATTTGAAGGCTTCTAAAAATGAAATGCTCACAGCTGTGTAAAAAGAACATTTGGATTGTGAAGTCTGTCTTCTGTGAATCTACTTTAGCCCTTTCAGTGTGTATATATATCCTGACATCATTTTTTCCACAAGTTTTCTACTTCATTAGGTTTTTAAAATAAGCCATACTAAATTATGAGTGGCTGCAGAGTATTTTATTTTATCCTTATGCTAGGCCTTATTTACGAGACTAGTGAGCCTGGCAGTGAAGACAGGTACTCATTTTTCTCTGGAGTTTTTCTATAACATTGACTACTCTGATAATGTTATCTTTCACAAGCCTTTAATCTTAATGGTGAGCAGGATGTGTTTATCCCCATGTTTTGCAAGTGGGAGCTAATTCACAGGTTACTGCCGGTCCTTAGCGTTTCCTCATGTGTTCCAAAAGCAGCTTTTGTTGACTTCAGACATAAAGGTAGATGCTGGTCATATTTGCAGTTTAGAACTGCAGGTATTCTCCAGTCTGATATCCAGATAATCAGAGATCAGTTCCAGAATATAGTGTATGTTTTAACTGCAGTTTCACCAGCAGTTAGGTGGACATAAGTTTACTGCAGCTTTATGTGGGGAGATACTGCTCCCTTCTGCTGCCTCCTATCAGCCCTGTGAATTGATTTAACTCATGTATCTGGCAGGAGGTTATGTAGATTTTTTTTTTGGTTATTATCTGCCAGATCAGTGTCTAGTGGAAGGGTCTGAAGAATGCTGGAGCTGGTAGAAGCGATGAGAGTATGTTGTCAGGAAAAGAAATAGGACCTTCTTTAAATCAGCTCACACTATTATGAACTCACAGAATCACAGAACAGGTGACATTGGAAGGAACCACAGTGCGTCATCTGGTTCAACCTCCCTGCTCAAGCACATGGCACGGAATTGTGTTCAGGTGGTTCTTGAATACCTTCAGTGAGGGAGACTCCACAACCTCTCTGGGCAATCTGTTCCAGTGTGCAGTGACCCACACAATAAATAAGTTCTTCATATTCAAAATGGAAGTTCCTGCACATCGGTTTCTGCCCATGGCCTCTTGTCCTATTGGTTGACAGCACTGAGAAGAGCCTGACTCCATCCACTTGACAGTCTCCCTTCAGGTACTTATATACATTGATGAGGTCTCTCTCATTCATCTCTTCTTGAGAACAGGCCTAGCTTTGCCTGCCTTTTCTCGTAAGAGAGTTGCTCCTGTCCCCTAACTATCTTTGTCATCTTCTGCTGGACCTGCTCTGAGAGCTCCCTGTCTCTCTTGTGCTGGAGACCTCAGAACTGTGCACATTACTGCAGATGCAGCCTCACTAGGACTGAGTACAGGAGCAGGATCACCTCCCTCAACCTGCTGGCAGTGCTCATTCCCCTGGCATCACACTTGAAAACAGGGATAAAATACTGTTCTGATGATCAGTTTTCTGCTATGTTAGCTAGAAACTTAACTTTGCCTGCTGTCTTTAGTTACCGTTTACCTTCTGATATACACAGCTAAAGGAATGTCATGAAATAGACTCCTTTATGTATTCTTTTTTACATGTATTTTTTTTTCTGAACTTTTGCCTTGCTTTGCATTGATGCAGATGTCCACTGGAAAATAGTGTTTGATCACTTATTTAAGTACTGTATAAATAATGCATAGGTGCAAAAGACAAAATTAAGGTTGCAGTGTGAACTCCATTTTTACATTTCCCAGTGTGACAAGATTGATGTACTTGAAAACAGAGTGCTAGGGAAAAACAAGGAAAGCAGACTATGAAGAACCCATTGGTTTCCACTGTGTGCCACAACACTGATCATCTGCATGGTTCTTCAGAATTGAAATGGTTAGATTTGCTACCATCCTTTACTTCTTCAGCAAGTGTGATAATTGATAGCTACAAAGGGTTATCATCTAGTGTAGATAGGTGCTGGAGGAATAAGGGGCACTTTGCTATGGCATGTCAAACTCTTGGAGTGGGCACGCTCATTTCGAGTTGTTGGCTTTATAATATCTGCTCTTGAGCCCTATCTTGTTTCTGCAAAGGTGGCCTCTTCTAAAAAATCACAGTCTGTCTTCCATGTTGTCCCTTGACAGCATCATCCTGTGCCCTATTCTTTAGTCATCTGTACTGTCCAAAGCTTATGGGCTGCTCCTCTCCCTGATGTGAAATCACACCAGTTTTCACCCAAATTAAATTGATAAAATCATTACATATTTCTGCTTCTGAAGAAGACATTATTAGATTTGTGAATTGAGGAGCTCGTTGGTGGGTCAGTGAAATGCCAGAGGAGGTGCAGAGGTAGAACAGGATCTTCCCTCTGTTAGCAGCAGTGAGCTACTCGACTGCCCCACAGGTAACTTCATTCCTGGTGTGCTCATCCAGCTCCTGAACTCTGCCCACTTCACTGTCATCTTGTAAGGCTCATTCCATCACTGAGTCAGGCTCATCTGTCACTGTGCAGTCTAGCTCTGTGTCATCTCCATCTTCAGCTGGTCTCTTCAGACAGATTTCCACCCTCAGTCATTTCCCCCGAGTCATTCTGTCTAGAGACCTGCCACTCCCAATGGTGGTGTCCAATGGGTGCAGGTAATGCCTGGGAGAAGGTGTACAACAGCTGTATCTGCAATTTGAATGTTCTAGCATTCTGCTGGCAGATCCTCACTTCACAGCTGCTCACTTGGTTGCCTTCTCACTGTCTTTGAGACAATACTCAAGTGGCAATGATGGAAGTTTATAACAATAAAATTTTTGAGGAAAGTAAAAGACTAATGTTGCAGCAAACCTTTTGCTGCGAAGCTGACAGACACAAATTAGGGTCTGTGTGTACACATTTCAGGCCTTTACTGGGGGAAAAAAAAGACAAAAGATTTTATCACCTGCCCAAGAGTAAAGAATTGTTTTTATTTTGCATGCCTCTCATTATAAATAAAAGGAGCTGAACCATGTTCATCTTGTACCTCTC